AAAAACTGCTGTAATATACATTATAACTTGCAGCAGTTGTATTCAAGTTACATTTCAGTATTTTACATTCTTAGACGCAGTCTCAGAGACTACGTCCCATGAAGATGGTTTTAATATGTACTGTTACGCTCAGATACATTATGATAAATGATGACAAACCACTTTATAAATCAAACAACACAATACAAAAAAACATTCATTTAAAATAATGTGTCCAGCTAGGACAGATGAACACACCAAAACTGTGCCACTCGCTCAACAGTCCATGGCTGTGTGACTATTGTGTTCATACAGTCTGCTCTTCTACCATGAAGAGATATTTCAGTGGGATTAAATCTGCCTCCACAGAAACCCAGAGGACCAGGAGTAAGAGAAGTTTGACAAGTTGTCCATCACGTCTCAAGATCCTTCGTCCACTGTCAGCTCCTGCAGCTGCTCCTGCACATCCTCCAGCTGCTCCGTCTGGCTCTCTTGTGGCTGCTCGGACTCCGGCTCACGGTTCTCTACCTCTTCCTCCACCTTTGGCTCCTCGCGTACACTCTCCAGATTCTCTGAGCTCTCAAAACAACCCGAATCCCGCGGCTCCTTGGCGTCCTCCCCAGATGTTTCCTCCTTCTCCTTCTCCTCCTCTTCTGGCTCCGACTCTTCTTCAGCTACACAAGCACAAAAACAATCACAGTTTAATATAAAGAGGTTTACGCCCATCCTTTTTATTCTTCCTGAACTCTGACAGGTCCTTTCATCTCGCTCAGCATCCAGCAGTAACGGAACAACACAATCATTCATCCGGAGTCACTTTGTGTCCACCTGGTGAATCTAAACCCTAGCTCACTCCTGTTCAGCATTGTTTATGTTCTCTCAAACCTCCTGAGGGAAATCCACTACATGCAGGCAGCTGACTGTTATTTGCTGCTGTGTTAGTGCATAAATACGGTGGGACAGCAGAGAGTGAACCAGAACAGTAAATCTGTGGGTCAGATGGTTAAAAAAGAGACAAAACTACTAGTATTTAATGCTCAAACAGCTGCAGATTCAAGAAACTCAGCACAGATAATCACTTCCATCCGTTCACATCTCACCAAAGTGATTGTAGTATGTATGAAAATGAACTCCAGCTATAAGTTAATATGCTGCAGGTTAAATTACTTTCAGTGGTTTCAATGAGCAACGACTCTAATAATGGAGCTAATAATCCTAATAATATTAGCATTATTATGCTAATAATATTAGCATTATTGTGCTAATAATATTAGCATTATTGTGCTAATAATATTAGCATTATTGTGCTAATAATATTAGCATTATTGTGCTAATAATAATGCTAATAATATTAGCATTATTATTATAATAATTACCATCTCTGTAATTATTATAATTATAAATAATAAATAATAAATAAATAACAATAAATAATAAATAATTATGTAATATTATATAATATTACATAATTATTAGGAATTGATGGACAGTCATCACTGTGGTCAAAATAATACAAATAAAGGTTATTGCGCTTTAGGGGAAGTAGATACTGAGTCATATGAAATGGTTTTGAGTGAATTTTAAAGAAAGTTTAAATTCACAAAGTTTAAACTGTCCTTCTGCAGCAAAGATGAGCCAAGATATTAAGACGAAGCACTGCTAACACAATGTGAGCCATAAAGTGCACCTGATTGTGTAGTTGAAGCATAAAAAAATGACAAAGTGCTCCTGAAATCACCATCCTTTGATTAGACATTATGAGCTTTGCAGCATCACAGTGTATAAACTTACAGTCTCTCAACAGCTCAGTGGCGTTCAGGATCTTGGAGCGCTGCTCTGGGTCTGTGATGTTCAGCTCGTTCAGGTGAGACTCCTTCAGCCCTGCAAAGTCCTCCAGAGTCTGGAAACCATGCATGGACAGCAAAGAACTCAGCTCCTGCAACACGAGAGAGAATAAGGTTCACATCTCTGCGATCAGACAGAGGTGACCATCGCAACAGTTGCTCTGCAGTTTCCCTCACCATCAGGCCGATGCTGTCCAGGACTTCCTCCAGGCTTTTGGGTTTGGATTTGGCTCGGTTGGCTTTTCTGCTGCAGCGTTTCCTCCTGGTCGGGGGGCTTTCGTCGGGCAGGAGGTTCACATAAATGAACTTAAAGGAGCCCACCTTGTTGTTGAGCTTCCCGGTCCAGGTGCCCACGGGGGGCTTCTCGATGATGTGGATGATGTCCCCTTTCTATGAAAAGAGAGA